CCGAAGTCATTTCATTCTTGTTCTTACTTCAAGTATCTTAGACATGTGTCTTTATATAGTCCCCTTGAGGGTAGGACCATATCAGAGTTACTCCATGTGTTTCTTAAGAGAGAGAACTCTGAAGTTTGAAAGATGGGTATTATATGGCAAAAATAAATCATATTTTGATTTTATAATATACAGCATCATCTTCTACTGCTTTTCTCTTTTAAAATGATTTCATGAATTCTTGCTAATTCTAAAAAATTTTGAAGTATATATAATAAAAACAAAAATTCTTTTGTTTTTGTACTACACACACCTCCTGAATTTTCACTCCCTTCTCCACTGGAGATCCTGTTTGCAGTATGGGACATGAAGTGAAGTGAAAGTCGCTCAGTCGTGTCCAACTCTTTGCAACTCCATGGACAGTAGTCCATGGAATTCTCCAGGCCAGAATATTGGAGTGAGTAGCCTTTCTATTCTCCAGGGGATCATCCCACCCCAGGGATCGAACCCAGGCCTCCCACATTGCAGGCGGATTCTTTACCAGCTGAACCACCAGGGAAATTTGGTACATAGCTCCATTTTAAACACACATGCTTGATTTTAATCCCATGTAATTAAAACTACTTGGCTGTCAACATTTATAGTCATTAGATTTATATGACATTGGGCCCTATTTAGGACTGCCTTATTTTTCCATGAAAATTTTTAGGGAACAGGCAGTTTATAAAATACATTTTAATCTGCAGTGTGAAAACTCCTATTTTTTCTCGGTGTTGAATTTTGCTTCTACTTAGCTTATGCTTGCTCAGTCACTCAGTCATGTCTGACTTGTTTGCAATCCTGTGGACTGTAGCCCTCCAGTCTCCTCTGTCCGTGGGATTTCCCAGGCAAGAATACTGGTGGAGTGGGTTGCCAATTCCTACTCCAGGGGATCTTCCTGACCCAGGGATCGAACCACATCTCCTGCATTGGCAGGCAGATTCTTTACCACTGAGCCACCTGGGAAGCCCGTACTTGGCTTACACAGCCAGCAAATTGAGTCCGTGGTAGATTGAAGCTAAACTCAAGTCCCTTTGATGAATGAATATCTGGTATTGAAATCTCCTCTCATCACTGCTGCTTTTTTCCTTCCCAAATGGTCTTTGCCATTTTCCTACATTTATTTTCTGAGATCTGTTTTAGAATTCCTTTGTCATGTACCCCCCAATCCTTCTGTGATTAAAATTGGAATAGCACTTTAATTAACTTGGAAAGATTTGACATGTTGTGTCTTTATATTTATTTGGGTTTTCTTTTATGTTTCATTAAATTGTTGATGCATTCTTCACCTATGCCCTATAGATCATCATCAAATTTGATGAAGTTGTTTTAATATTGTAATGAAATCTTTTCTCTATTTCTTATTAGTTGTTGATAGATTCTAGAAAAGCTATTTAAGTTTTAAATATTAACTTTAAAATATTTCATTATTTTACAGTAGGTTCCTTTGAGTTTTCAGGCAAACATCACATAGCTGCAAATAATTCTTCAGTAACCTTCTATGACAAAATATTTCATAATATTGAAGCTTAACATTCCTGAAATAAATTGTATATGCTAGTAAATCCCAAGGAGAGAGGAGCCTGGCAGGCTACAGTCCATGGGGTTACAAGAGTCGGACACGACTTAGTGACTAAAGAGAGAGAGCAATACAGCACATGGTACTGATAGATTTTTTTAAATGATATGAGATTAAATTTACAGTAGCATTTTGGGAGGATTTTTTATGTCTTTATTTTGACAAATCAAAATTGAAATCATTCTTTCTCTGTAGGTTTGTCTGCGTAACAAAAGGAACTGGGAAATTTATTATCTTTGATTATTTCTTGAAAAATAGTATTCAAAGGAAACCAACTGAGTTAAGTATTGGGTTAATCCCTGGCATCATGGGTAGGAATCAGTCTTATATACCATAATAGAAGCCTTGGCACTGTAGGAGGCATTAGACTGGCCCTCAAAAGCTGCAGAGTGTGGGGCGGAATCCCCATCATTCCATCTTCTTTTCTCAGAGATTATCTTAGTGATTTAAAAATAGAACTGTTTTATCAAAAATAAAACTATATCATGTGATCTAGCAAAAGACTGACACTACTCCCAAGTGTATACAAATACACTGGAAATAGATATTTTTGTATATCCCTTTTATGAATCATGTTCAAGATTGCTGTAAACATCTAAACTAGTATTATCCAACATTTGTAATGCAACATCAAATGCAACCCTGAAATCACAGAAAACATTAAAATAATTTTTAAGGAATAGAACCTTTCTGCATTGGGATGAATCTTCTTTTATTTTTCATTGCAATTAGCATGCAGATCATCAGGCAGTTGCAAGAGCCAGAACTTAACATTATATAAACAAAATTAACCTTATTTTGGCTTCAGAACACTAGAATAATATTTTTTCAGGGTTGACTACATTATTTACACTTAAGTGTTTCCTTAAGTCAACTTCCTTAAGAATGTTCACTAATCTTGCTATAGATGAATACAAACCACCTCCAAAATGGACAAAACCTTCAGGAAAACATTGGTGCACCTCCCCAGTCTATCATATTTAATGTTGTCATATAACCAGAGGTGGAAGGTGACCCATGATAGAAACATACAACTTTGGGACCTGGAATACTAATCAGTGGCTAACTGCAGATTGAGCTGTAAATTATGATCCAGAAGGATTCCTCACCACAACCCACTGACTTCACTGAACTTCTTAAGCATCACTTCATCTGAGGGGCCTGATCACGAAAAGCCAAACCTCCCATAGTGACAGAAAAACAATTCATTTCTTTGGGCTTAGCAGGGTATAATTGGCTTTAAAATATATTGCTGTTATATTTTTCTTCAAAATGAGAATAGCTTTAGTGTTTCTATGATTATAAAATAATGCACATTTATTATAGTAAAATTAAAAAGTAAGGACCAAAAAGGTACAAATAATACCTTTTAAACTGCCTGTCATTCTTCCACCCAAAGATGACTGCCCTTAACCTTTTCAGGTAGATTGTTACAGACTTTCTATTCACACAACTCTTCTGAAATAGTTTCTGCTCACTCAAAACTTAACTAAAAAGATTTACCTTCCAAATAAAATGCTACTTTTTTCACATATTCTATATTGTTAGAACTGTGTTCACTGCATTCTTTTATATGGGATCAAAAAATATGTACCTAAATCATTACATAGTCTTCAAAAGAATTTTTAAAAACCATATAAGCTAGTGTTCTTTTTTTTTTTTTTTTTGGTGCTAGTGTTGCTTTCATTAATCATTAGTAATAAATAAATAATGTGTCCATATTGAGTGAAAGTAATGTCTTACGATTGCATTAGTATGATGAAATTAAAAGATTTTCTATTCATCTGCAAACACACTCAAAACATTTTTGCCAGTATTTACTCTTTTCCCTACTTCTCAACCCTCCCCGAAACCCAGTCTCTCTTGGTCCCCACCTCATTTTCTCTGACTTTTGTTGCTAACACCCTGTGGTACATTAACCCGGTGATTAAAGCTGACAATGATAGGATTTCACCAGAGCTGCGTTTTATATATTGTACAAATAGACAATGTATATGTTCTTTTTGTTTGTATGTGTGCATGTTTATATTCCTAAAATATCTGTGAAGAGAATGGCAAAAAAACTAAAATATACATTGCCTCTGGGGAGGGAATTGAGTGACGGGAGATAAGAGCAGAGATGGGAAGGAAACTTTTTTATGAGATACTCTTCTATGCTTTATAAATGTTTATACTGCCTAATGAAAATAATTTCAAGATAAAAATATATCTACATATGTACAAACATTGATAAAGCTATTAGTGTAATGGAACTTAGGCAGCTCCTTCAGGTTCCATAACTTACCCCTTTCTCAGAGACGTGAAACCAATGACTGTAACAGTGTCAGCTTGTGGGTATGCAGTGCAAAAAAATTTTCTATTTCCTTTGAAAATCATTTTAGTTATCATTTAGTTATCATTCTCTAAAAGGATGCCATGATAGGTTTAGAGTACCATGTTTGAATCAGTGATTCAGCAAGATGTCAGTGTCTTCTACTTGTTAACATCTAGCCTAAATACACTCACATATGCACACACACACACTCACAGCAGTGTGGTAGAGACACCATCTGAGACTCTTTACTTGCCTTAGAGACAGTTGCCCTAAGGTAAGAAAAGCAGCATAAATTTTCATTTCAACCTTTTTCCTTTTGAAAGATAATTTACATTGATTCTTGATCATGTCAGTCATACTCATGCCATTTGGGCAACATCTGTGTATAGAGATGCTGTTCAACTTTGTGAGTTAGTTATCCTGCTCTTCAGTTCAATTCAGTCACCCAGTCGTGTCCAATTCTTTGTGACCCCATGAACCCCAGCACACCAGGCCTCCCTGTCCATCACCACTCCTGGAGTTTACCCAGGCTCATCTCCATTGAGTCGGTGATGCCATCCAACCATCTCTTCCTCCGTTGTCCCCTTCTCCTCCTGCNCTACCCATAAGTTAAATAAGCAGGGTGACAATATACAGCCTTGATGTATTGCTTTTCCTATTTGGAACCAGTCTGTTGTTCCATGTCCATTTCTAACTGTTGCTTCCTGACCTGCATACAGATTTCTCAAGAGGCAGGTCAGGTGGTCTGGTATCTCCATCTCATTCAGAATTTTCCAGAGTTTATTGTGATCCACAGTCAAAGGCTTTGGAATAGTCAATAAAGCAGAAATAGATGTTGTTTTGGAACTCTCTTGCTTTTTCAATGATCCATCGGATGCTGGCAATTTGATCTGTGGTTCCTCTGCCTTTTCTAAATCAAGCTTAAACATCTGGAAGTTCACAGATCATGTATTGCTGAAGCCTGGCTTGGAGAATTTTGAGCATTACTTTACTAGCATGTGAGATGAGTGCAATTGTGTGGTAGTTTGGATTCAAATGTCCTTGATTTTGCCTCACTATTTTTTTTTCTTTTATTTGCAGGTGGTGAAATCAAAATTATCCAAAGAAGATCACTTTCTTAAAATGAAACAATCAAGAAATCATATTGTGGGAAAATATTTCAGCAATCAAAGCAAATTACGACAAAGACGACAAGACTCTATGACAAATGTTCAATCACCGTTTCATGTCAGAGGTCCAATTAATCAGGTTTGCTCTGAAATCCTTCTCAGCAGGATGTGTGCCAGTGAAAGAACTGTGGAGGCCCTGCAGAAGGACTGAACTTGGAATTGGATACAAGCCACTCCCCTGGACAATGGTCTAAGCCCCAAATCCTGGTCATCAGGTGTATTTTGGTTCTACCACACACACTCAGGCGCATGAGCATACACATACACACTGATGCACATTTAGCTAAAAAAAAAAAGTCATTACACTTTTTTGTACAGCTTTATAAAATCAGGATGTGCACTTGGAAATAAGTTGGTATCAAGATGAAAGACAGAACTAGAAAAAGGTGACCTGAAATATAATCATAAACTAGATCCACTGTAGGCTGGTATTGCACTGTGATGATAAAGAGAAATATAGACATTTGATAAGTGGGGGAAAAGATCATGTTCTTGAGTATTGTGTTATCATCTTTAATGGTACCTTAATATTGAAAATGGTTTGAGGAATTACATTTCACCTGCCAGTTGGGATTTTGCTGTGCTTGCCCTTACCAGGAGAAAACGTGGCATAGATGAGGGTTTAGGCTTTGTGAATCTAATGCTTATGAAAACAGTTTCTTCCTAGATTTTTAAATCCTTTAACTGAAAGGAAAAGAACAGGAATGTTCCTCCAGGGAATTCTAAGAGATTCTATGAAAGAAATAGGAAATATAATATTTTACAGTTAAAACACCAATATATTTAACTTTGCACTCTTTCTACTTTTCATAAACATTCCCTCCTAGCCTGTCCATGAACTTGGATGGGTAACTGAAGTCTGAGTTGATTAAGTATGTAATATTAAAGTGAGAAAAACAAAATATAGTTCCTTATGGGTTACTTTGTTAGTTTCATTGATGATATTACTTAAGAAAAAAGCTTTTGTTTGCTATTAGAGCCCTATATAATTTAAGACTGTGAGTATATTAATATTTTATGTAAATATTTTGCAAAGTATTAAGCATTCTCAACTGCATAAGCATTTATATCCAGAAAGCATTCATATATGTCCACAAATATTACTGTTGCTAGTAAACATATTTTGATTTTCCTGAGAGAGTGTATCTAATCCAAATTTAGAATAGACATACGATTAGTTTTTATAAAACTGTGGCATATATATATAACATATCTAATCCTAGTAATTGAAAACTTTCTCTTCTATATTTTAAAATGGTAAATTTCTTTATTGTGCAAAAGCTTTGTTGTGAGATAACATCTCACAGTTACAATGACTCTTAAAGGATTATTTTTCTTTTGGGGAAAAAATACTGAGAGGGCTAATTCAGTGCTTAGCTGAAATTACCAAATGCACAAATACCTCAATTCCAATACTATACCAAAAACAAATCTATTTTGATTCATCAGTTCTTTAGTATAAATATAAACTTCCTTTAAATACTCTATTTTTATATATATTTTTATATGAAAGTAAACATAAAGTTATATTTAACGGTCTTAAATTATATCTAAGCACAAATATCACTTGATATAAACAATTAATACCTGTGTCTAAAAACAGGTGATAAATTTTTTAAATGAGCGGTACAGAATTAACTTTTAAAATGAAATATTTTCTAGTATCTACAGCTATTTGTAAGCATCATTTTTTGGGTTTTAGTGCTTTTTTAATGATATAAAATGTTGCCAATTCATGTAGCTCCTCCATCCTGTTTTAATGTATTACATATTCTGTAACAGAATTATAGTCAGTGGATATTTCTTATAATTTACTGCCGACCTGACTGTAATACATTTCTGACCGAAGTTAGCTTTGCATTTACCTCTTTACCATTGAAATACTAGTGGATTTTAGAAACAACTGTAATAATACAATTAATAAATGTCTTACTGGTAATAATCCTTGTTTGGAGAATATGCTTTATTTTTCCTTTTTACTGGAGGTATACACCATATAGGAATTCCTTCCTAGCTCTGTCGGTAGAGAATCCACTGGCGATGCAGGAGACCTGGGTACAATTCCTGGGTGGAAGAGATCTCCTGGAGAAGGAAATGGGAACCCACTCCAGTATTCTTGCCTGGATAATCCCATGGACAGAGCAGCCGATGGGGTTGCAAGAGTCAGACATGACTTAGCGACTAAAGAACCACCACCATACGCTAAAAATATCACCCTGTGGACTCAGCTACTAAAGTATAGTTTAATAATATGACCATATACTTCCTTCCAACCCCAATATTCTATAAATTTTGATCAGATGAACTCCCTGCTCCACAGTGACAAAGCTTTTGAATACAATACAGTGGTGAGTTTTGTCTGCAAGACACTGAAATGAGAAGAATCATTTTAGTTAACACTTTGATTGAAAAAGAAACACTTTTTACTTACCTTAAGCAAATAGGTGTGTGTTTGTTTGTGCATGTGTATTTGTGTGTGTTTGACAAGTTCATAATTTGAATGAGAAAAATACAGTAGGTATTTTAATATATTTTTGAGGTAAAAGTTAAAGCTAAATGAATTATTTTTGGCAAGAACTGATTGGTATCCAATCTAAACTAAAGAAAACATTTATAATATTAAAAGTCAAGAATAATTGCATTAGCATTCCCAAGCATCCTTGTTGATTGCGCGTGTGTGTGTGTTTAAAGGCACAGTACACTATTTGCCAGCCATCCAAGTAAGCCAAGAGGATCCCCTAGGGACGTGCAAACGAGACAGTTCACCATCAGCTTTACATTGGATCGTTTAATCTTCTTCAAGTAGGTGCCTCTGTGCTGCAGTCTGCCCTACAGAACACTTCCCACTTAGAAAGCACTGGATAAAATCACCAATTTTTGAGATGGAAATCGTTCTGGTAATGTTTATGGAGAAAAAATATAATGCTGTTCTGCACCTGAACTTTCTTTTTTTAGTTGCATCTCACTGAATGATTCCAAGAAGAAATACAGAAACTGGTCAAAAATTATGTAACCCAGTAAGAGTTATTTCAAAGCCACAATGCTTTGGCTGGGAGAGGGTGTGTGGTGGGAGCGGGTGAAGGGGAGTGGCTGGTATCTAATACAGCAATGAGTTCAGAACATAGAGAGATGATCAGGGCGAGGATCTTACTAAATATTATTTTATGAGCTCCTTAGTTTGAGCAATTACTGAAAGAATCATCAGTATCTAAAATTTTCTCTGCGAATTTTCATCTTATAAAAAAAAGACCAAAATGTCATCAAAATCAGTGACTAGATTTCAGTTCAGTCAGTTCAGTCGTTCAGTCATATCCAACTCTCTGCAACCCCATGAACCGCAGCACACCAGGTCTCCCTATCCATCACCAACTCCCGGAGTCTACCCAAACCCATGTCCATCGAGTTGGTGATGCCATCCAGCCATCTCATCCTCTGTCGTCCCCTTCTCCTCCTGCCCCCAATCCCTCCCAGCATCAGGGTCTTTTCCAATGAGTCAGCTCTTCGCATCAGAGGGCCAAAGTATTGGAGTTTCAACTTCAACATCAGTCCCTCCAATGAGGACTGATCTCCTTTAGGATGGACCGGTTGGATCTTCTTGCAGTCCAAGGGACTCTCAAGAATCTTCTACAACACCACAGTTCCAAAGCATCAATTCATCAGTGCTCAGCTTTCTTTATAGTCCAACTCTCACATCCATACATGACTCCTGGAAAAACCATAGCCTTGATTAGACGGACCTTTGTTGGCAAAGTAATGTCTGTGCTTTTTAATATGCTGTCTTGGTTGGTCATAACTTTCCTTACAAGGAGTAAGCATCTTTTAATTTCATGGCTGCAGTTACCATCTGCAGTGATTTTGGAGCCCAGAAAAATAAAGTCAACCACTGTTTCCACCGTTTCCCCATCTATCTGCCATTAAGTAGTGGGACCGGATGCTATGATCTTAGTTTTCTGAATGCTGAGTTTTAAGCCAACTTTTTCACTCTCCTGTTTCACTTTCATACTTAAAATGAACAGACAAGATTTTGAGTAAGTTCATATGAGCTGATAACTTCAAAAACATGTATCCAAGTACAAAATGATATTACACCACAGCAGATTTTGACCAAAGCAAGGAGTAATTGCTCTGCCAATACTGCTGTATTGTTGTTTTAAAATATGCATATAAAGACTACTCTTCAAAACTAAGGCATTTTGAAAGATCACTTCAACTTATGGAGATGGACCAAAAGCTGTCAGAAACCCCAAAGACCTACTAAAGACAGTAGGATACTGCCAGCCCTTACAAACTAGATTTTGTATTTGGCACAGCTTCCAGGCCTTCATACTGTCAAACAGCCTTTTATCATGTTTTTATTGCTGGAGTAACTGTTATTATCAACTTCCATATTTCTTTCATGGTTCAGTCACTTGGTGTAGGGAGCTGTAGAACTTATTTTTTTCTAACTGATTCAGACCATACAGTCCCCTCCTGAAAATCATGCTCCATTTGTTTTCTTTATGTTTATTGAAATATAAAGAATTTGTTTTATAGCTCCATTAAATGTTGGACCACTATGCTTTAACATACTCAATACACAATCAAAATACAAATTCTTAAAACTTATGGAGAGTATTTACAATTTGTAAGTCTCTCTGCAGTGTAAATAAAGATAATTACTTAAACCCAGCTAATGGCAGGACCAAAATGAAAGCAGCCATGATTAGAAAAAACACTATAAAAGGATCATCATCTTTAGGTATATCAGGTTTTGAATTTGATTTATGTTGACTGGTATTTTCTCCCAAGTCCATAGCACTCTCTGCAAAAGACTGTTTTCACTTAGTTTTTTAAAAGTCTTTTTTCCAACTCTTTGTGTAATATATCTGGGGGAAAACTACCTTTTAGATTAGGTTATGAGGAGACATTTAATATATCTAATCAAGTTATTTTCCTAAGAAATGTTTGTATAGGTTCTTATTATTTTTATTACATGGAAAAGTAATTCTTATAAAAATCATTAAAATGTTTAGATTTTTTTAAAAGAAAAGTAATTACAGTTGACCATAGGTACATCAGAATTCAGAAACAACGTGGTGTCACATGTATCAAATGTATTCAACTTATTCTCAACAACTTCATAGTGATTTTTCTTATTTTATGGTTGGCTGGTGAAATACATCAATTTGATGTGGCTTTTAATGCTAGTTTAAATGATTTAATGGTGATGGTATGTGATTTATTTACATATGTTATTCAATTGTATTTCCATCTTTTTAAATAATAAAATCTGTTCAAAATCTAAGATTAAAATCTTAGTCTATGGCATCAAGGTCAAAATTTTTATTTTATTTACAGTCTATAATTTAATTTTTTATTTGGCCTATAATTTGTCTGCTCTTAAAATTAAATTATTAATTCAAACATCAGAAAAAAAATTTAACATGAACATAAAATGGGCATATGTTGTAACATATGTTCAACCATACATCCACTAATCTCCACTTCAGTATAAGAGGTTGTTTGGTCTCCTGTAGATTTTCTCATGTTAACAGCTGAAGGTTTGGTATTCAAGACTCTTGACGTCAATATATGCAATCAATACATGGAGACGAGAGGATGGTATAAAATGCCAGCACTGAAACCAGTATGGCTTATGTTTGTGCATTAGGCCCATCATCATGAGACTTGGTCAGAAAAGGGGGCTACATAGAGAAGAGAGCCTCTTCCCACAATGGCTTCTGGGATGGATAAAAATTATGAACACCCTCTCCAGCTGTCTTTGACAGACCCTGGACATCTCTTCAAACCTCTTCTTAATACACAAGTCACTTGGAGGGTTTCATTCCTAAGGAAAAAATAAATAATAATTTTCAAACTTTATTGGACCAAAAATTACAACTTAGACTAACCAAATAGCAACTGAATGTGCCTTTAATGATATCTTCTTATTTACAATCAGAAAAAATAGAAACTGACCTCTAACCACCAATATAGTATAACCTCTGGAGAACTTGAAAGAGCAATCCATTTTTCAATTCATTTCTTTTTTTCACCTATGGGGTCATTCACTCTACTGCTTATCCTTAGCTTTGCCTTTGAAATGGAATGTGTGCGGTATTTTACGCATGCATTTAGTATGTAATACAAGATACATTTTAAAACTTACACTTTTACTCTCTCCTCCTCACCTTAATTACACGTAACATGAAGCTTATGTTTTAATGGGCATGAGCACACCAGTTTTACTGTATCATAAAAGCAGTTTATGAGCCTTATGTTAAAAATTGGTGCCCATGTCATTGGCAAGGCATGAAATTATTTGCAGCTACTTCTTCTACTTATAAGATAAATTTGGTCTGAATTAAGAATCACACAGAAGGAAGTTGAAACAATGCCTTTGTAGCCTAAAATGAGTTTAGTCATCAAATTTTTGACACAGATTTGGGTTCACCAGTTTCCATCACATGTGCATACCCCCTGGGGAGAACCTGGTCTCTGTCCATACTTGTCTCTAAAGAGTCCCCATTCCAATGTTTGCATTAGTTATGCAGAATCAATGGCATGTTTTTAAAAGGGTGTGGATACAACCTTAGCACAATTACTCCTGCCAAGAACAGGAATCATTTCAATAGGATGGAGTTTCCCGGGCCTTGTTACTGGTAAACAACCGGAATTCTTTTGGCCACCTACTCTATCAATAAATGGAAATCTTCCATGAATTATTTATGGATTCTGAGATGAAGCTGATACAGACATTGTATCTCAAGTTTCCACTTCCCAGAAGGATGGGCAGTCTCAAGTGAGTGATTGGCCTAAGTAGTGTTTTTCTGTTACCTGGGGTCGTCATGAGTCTTTGAAGTACTGAGTTGCTGAAAGTCGATTTCTCTTCCAATGGAAGCTTCCCTGGGCAGCATCTTCAGTAAACTGTTATCAATTACAGTGAAAATGAATGCCTTC